GGACCCATCATTAGTCTCATGGGAGGTCTGGGAGACTTTGGTTATATGAAATAGCCACAAATTGTAAAGGATCAGACACATACTAGGAGATCTTCGATTACTATCACCAACAGTTACCAGAGACTAAACCTCGCGAGTGGCCAATGAGAAGTAATAAAGTTGAATAGTTACAATGAAAAAATACAGGGATAGACCCTGGGAAAGAAAATTTGAAAACAATTACCAAGGTAACCATTCCAATAGAAGAAGCTATCCATTACGAAGTAATCAAGAGAAATCCTTGCAGACATATTTAAAGAATGATTAAAAATGGTCACTAGAAGACTATAATCATCAATTTGGCTTATCAATAGCTACCGGAAAACTTGATGAGATCACATGAAAACTGAAAAATATTACTGGACAACTAACTTTCTAAGGATTAAGTATGGTTAAAAGATGTCAAATTATAAAACACACACCCCATAAGATATACAAGTTCTCAAGAATCGAACAATTCTAAATAACTTCTTGAATATAAATAGAAGTTCCCTGGTGAATCCTTGGAACATCAGGAGTGCCTAGGTATAGCAGGGCAACTGACAAGATGGTATCCATATCAAGTAAAATCTAAGGGTGGTTAAATGGATTAGGATAGTATAGATTAGGTATAAGAATTGCTTTTGTAAAAATAATTCTGTATAAACTCCTTCATAATCGATCAATAAAGCCTAGTCAGTATGACTATTAAAAAAAAAAATTAATTAATTAATTATAAACTATTCAAAAAATTTTTTTATTTTGAAATAAATTATTATAAAGAATTGTTATAAAAAATAGATTTACTTTTTTTTTTTATTAATTGATTTGATTTTTTTATAATTTTTATTTTTATAATTTTTAAAGAATCTTGCTTTTTTTCAATTTGATTTTATGTTTTTTTTTATAACATAATTTCTATTGCAAGTAATTGATCAATATTAAATATTATACTATATATTAATTTTTAAAATATAAACAAGTTTTTATTAATCAAATTCATATACTGTATTTTAATTTTTAAAATATAAACAAGTTTTTATTAATCACATTCATATACTGTAGTTTAATAATATTATTGATAATAATAAAAAAGATTTTTGAAAAAGTTTTACTTTAACTGAACAAGTTTTTAAAAAAATCATTTTTTTTTTTTTTTTAATACCCGTGGTCAGGCCAGTACTGTGTGTTTATTAATCATTAAGAAAACCAATTGAGATATATAAGACAATTGCATTATGGCTAAACTAAAATCTTATACTGATACACTCGTCAATGACTTTCAATTCTCAAAAGAGCTTTAGCTTCTAAGTGCAACTTTGGGAACAATATTTCGCTTTGAACTAAGTTTTGGATGAAAACCCTCCTAATTTACCCATCATTGCTAGCAGGTTGTTATTGCTTATTATCCTTTAAGGAACTGAATTCGAGAAACTATAAAAGAGGAAAGGAAAAATAAAAGGAAAGGGGAATATCTAAAAATGTGCAAATGCATTACATGAAAAAGAAAAAAGAAAAAAGAAATTTAAAATTGCTTCATGTTCTCCAAAATACCTTGACTAGAAACCTCTTCTCATTAGGAATCAACCTTTCTGGGATATTCTTCTTCTTTCTGACTATCTGAGGAACTTATCCATCCATACTCTTGATTATTTTCTTGTGACCGTCTGAGGTACTTATTACCTACTCGGATTCAGTATTTTGTTCAACACTTCCTTTCTTTCAGTCTTGATTTTTTATCCATTCGCGCAAAACAGAATGGCCAATGATGGATTCCAGGTTCTTATATGGCTTTCAGTCTTGTTGTGTAACTTCTAATATCTTCCAGCAGCCACGCCTAGTTAAAGAAATTTTACTGATGTATATGTTCCATTACTCAAAAAGTCAGATTCCCCAATAATCTTTTTGCCTTGTAATGGTGGGAGGGTCTGCAAAGTATGGGGATCCTCGTTGATTCCGATATCATTACACAACTTCTGAAAAAATGCATTTTCAATCCTAGAGAAGGGCAGTGTTTTATATTTCTCTGCTTTTCGGTCTTACAACCTGACCGGGATAAGGAAATAGCCTCTTTCATATATTTTGTCTGACTGAAATGATAAGAAGTTAAAGGCTTTGGCTTGAACAAATAACCATCTTTTCACTATCTAGAAAATTTAATACCCATCCTAATGGCCTCATGATTTTTTTGCTTTAGTTAAACTTCATTTGAAGGAGTGGAAGAGTTCATATCCTTGATTTCTCTTTTTATTACCAATAACGTCATCAGAATATGTGAGGTAACCAATAGGAGCTTGTTTACATTCAGCTACTAACGTGTTTCATGTCAACCAATCAAATGCCAGGTGACATTGTGCTACCAAAAATTCAGGATCAAACTGAGGTAGGCAAAATCCCCCAAGAAAACTGTGAAAACCAGTAAGCCCTTTAAGAGAGTATAAGACAGTATGTGAGAAGGAGGAAAATAAGCCTTCCCTGCCAATAGAACCTCTATTTCTTGTCGCTTCTAGCTCTGTGAGGTGACACTCCACTTGTTAGTCCTTTTACTTCTTAGAACCTTCTTATCCTTAGTAGAGGAAGTGTATACTTGAGTCTTTTTAGGCTACTAGAGGCTCAAGTTTTTATTCAAAGGAGTTTATAAATAAGTAAGGGAGGGTAGAAGAGATACATAAAGACAAGCTTCAAGTTGTTTTAATGAAAGTATAAAGACTTTATTAGCAAGGAAGTATAAAACTTCTTGCGAACATCTTTTTTGAAAATTAGCAGAAAGAGTTTTTTCCTTATTTTATATAGTTTTTAAACAAATCATTATGATATCAAAAAATAAATAAAAAATATATAATTTAATTATTCCCATTCTTCAACTATGTTACTTAAATAATAAAATAATTTATCAAATAAAAGCAAAGGTTTTTTACTTTAATCCTTATTAATAAAATTTTTAAAGATGGTTTTATTATTTTTATCAGATTAGCTCTTTTATAATATAATATAGGCTCTAAAAATATAATAAGCAAATTTATATATTGATAAAAGGATAAATTTCTTAAATATTTTTAAAGAAGTTTACATGTTAAGTTTTTCAGATGATTCAAAGTAAGAATATCTCAATTAAACAAATTCTTTTTGAGAGGAGATTACTGAATTGATTAAGAACCTTTTGTAAGAACTATAAATCATTTTTTTCTTTTTGCTTTTCTCTTTTTTCCAATTCCTTTAAATCAACAATTTATTAATTTTCGTGATAATTAATTGTTGATAATGATCTTAGTAAGTTACTGTATATCTAAATAAATAAAAATAAAAATACCATACCGATCAGATTATATAAGATTGACAAATCGTAAATCGTAAATCGCGAATAGTGAATCTAAATCGTGAATTGTAGACCATATATATTTGCATCAAAATTATCACATTTCGTTGTACAATTACCATCTGAAGTCAGTTGAAAATGTCGCCGATCATGCTCAAGTTATAAATACAAGATTATTTGCAAGACCAAGTGGAAATTTTAAAGGTGATCGAAACAATAAAGAAAATGGTTTTCTTCACAATTGGGTTCTTTGGTCTTTTAACTGCTGCGTTTGTCACCGAAACACCAATTTTCGTCTTTTTCACCGCGACTTACCCACTCTTATACTTGTCAAATTTATATTTTCGCCGAAAACGTTTATCTTCAGCTCAACCATGGCCTATCAATGAAAAAGTAATATTAATTACCGGCGCATCCAGCGGCATTGGCCAATCCTTAGCTCACGTGTTTGCTAAGCAAGGAGCAATGCTTGTGCTTTGCGCTCGTCGGGAAGACTTGTTGTCAAAGGTCGCTAATGAATGTCGGGAACTCAACTCTTCCGCAAAAGTTTTGACCGTCAAGTGTGATGTGACCGATATGGCCGATGTGTCCCGTCTGGTAGAAGCCGTTGAAACCACATATGGTCGATTGGACTGTTTAGCCTTAAACGCGGGAGTTTCAATGGGAGAAGAGTTTGCGGAATTAAAAGATTATGACATGATCAAGAAGATCATGGACGTTAATTATTATGGATGCACAAATTTGACGTACAAAGCATTGCCACTGTTGAAGAAGAATAGAAAATCAAGAATCTTTGTTGTTAATTCGGTTGCCGGAATTATACCATTACCACTGCGAACCGGATACTCGGCGTCAAAATTTGCAGTCCGCGGCTTCTTTGAAAGTTTGCAGCCGGAACTTTTGAAAGACGAGATCTTTATTACGTTAGCTTACCCGGTGATGGAGTGTTTCTCATTCATTAGGTGAAAGATTTGTCAAATTACGTGACATCATTCTAATAAAACATTTTCTTTTATCGCTTACTTGCAGGGCGCCGTCAAAACAGATATCAACAAGAATAGATTAGGTACGAATCCAAAATATCTTGATCTCACCAATGCGATATCTTCTGAGGAATGCGCCCAAATAATAGTAGATGGCGTTCGCCGAGGTGACAAAGAAATTCAGTTTACAAGCAATGGAAAACTTGGAAGGTTGATCGAAGGCGTATTTCCGGATTTGTTGGCTTATTTGGTGGTCAAAAATTCCAGAAAACACTTGGACAATAGTTGAAAGAAAATGATAGTGGCATAGATGATCAGTAAATAGACAGGCTGTGCGAGAGTACAGATGTATTCACTTGAAAGTTGAGATTTTTTTTATTAATAGAATCGAATTAGTTTCTGAGAGGGAATATGTACAAGTTTGACGCCTGATCTTATAAAGTTACAGGATTGAAATTCGAATTAAAGTGTATTTTGTAACGTGCATGTAGTTATAATGGATTTCCTCTCATCTTTTTACGAAATGAAAAGTCTATAATCACCGAATCCGTTCATTTAGGATCCCGAAAATCAGACTCGCATATGGTTTGGAGTATTATTAAAATTCATGGTGGATTATAACTCGCTTGATAAATTTAACGTAGAACCCAGAATCGAGACTCGACTCGACCCAACTCGTTAGGATCCTCACGCCCATTGTCAGAAATTCACTTCAGCTCTCATCGATTCCGCGAATCTTTGATATTTTGCAAGCTGCGAATCACCAACCGAAGGATTGAAGTTCGAAAGTGCTTCCAACAAGTCAGATTGACCAATATTTTTCTTATCGAGGAATAAAATAAAAAATTTACTTTTTGATCCTGGGACCGTAATAACTGTCGCATGGCACAACACTAAAGATCTAACTCACTTCTTCATTGTCTCCTTTTCTAAATTTTTGGAATGCTAGCAATGCGGCTCTTCGCACCAAACCCTTGATGTCGGCTCCAGTAAAATTTGCTGTTCTCTCTGCCAATTCATCAATATCAACGCCATTTGAGAATTTCGGTTTTTTATTGGCTAAAATTCTGAAGATCGATTTTCTTTCCTCGATATTTGGTGGTCGAACATACACAAGCCTGTCTAGTCGGCCTATAAACGAATAGAAAATTAAATAAAATAAATGAGGGGAAAAGCTTTTGTAGAGTAATGACTATCTCTTATAAGGAATAGTGAACTATATATAGAACTTGCCTGATCTCAGTAAAGAAGTATCAATTGCTGCAGGATTATTTGTCGCTGCAAGAATCACCACTCTATGATCAATCGAATCTAATCCATCTAATTCCAACAATAATTGTGATATCAACTATCACAAAAAAAAAAAAAAAAAAGAAACCCCCCAAATAACGCGTGAGAGACCTTTCTATGCCTATTCCATCCTTAGATTAGCCTTAATCCAATTTATGCATGCCTTTTTCCCAAAGCTACCAGTAAACTCTCGATTTCCAAATAACGCTTCCAACTCGTCCAGAAAAATTATGCAAGGACTACATCGGCGCGCTATTTTAAAAATATTCGCAATCGCCTTTTCCGATTCACCGACCTGAAACGATTATAAGTGGAAGGTTCAATTAGATCAGGGTGGATGATATGATCGACAGGTTATAATAGTTTCTTCATCTCTTTGCCTCTTCTCTAATTAAATCCGGAATAGATATCGGCATAAAGTGAGCTGACGACTCGGTTGAAACAGCTTTGGCGAGTAGTGTTTTTCCCGTCCCAGGGGGGCCATATCTATTAAAGTACCATAATTCATTTTTCAATCCTTTATTTTCTTTTTTGACTACATCAATTGGGACAAGTTTTACAGGAAACTACATACAAAAGAACGCCTTTTGACGGTTTTATTCCTAAACGACGAAGGGCATCAGAATGTTTGTATACCCATATCACCGATTCTTCCAAAACCCTCTGATTGAACAAACGAAGATTAAAACGAATTATGAAACAAGAACACGACGGTATATTGTTACCTTTGTTTCATACAATCCGCCTACATCATCCCACTTTACCGGCTCGGCTCTCTGCACATCTCCGTTCTTTCTTTGTAAATTACTAATCTCGATCTTCCTGAAGCTATCAAGAAAATTTTGACTCGATATTTTTAATTGTCCCGGAACACCTACAGAATTTAAGTAGAATAACAGTTAGATCATCAAACGAGAATAAAAACAACTGCAAGACCAACCTTTCTGTTGAATACTAGAAACGTCAGCAATCTCGGAGGCCATTCTACATAAACACGCAATGTCTGCTGCCACAAACCCATGACATATCTTATTAATTTCTTTGATGTCTACATCATTCGCGAGGTCTAGAACCCTTGCGCAGGTTGCAAGAATTTCTAAGCGTTTTTCTGGCGATAGAACCTCAAATTCAATTTCATCCTAATTCGAAGAGAGAAACATATCCCTTATGCCGTAAGTATAAACTTTAGTAGTAAATAATCGTTAATAATAAATTCCCTAAATAACTCACTTGAAATATCGTTCGAACTATTGGATTTAACAAATTTGCGTTGGTTGTGGTTCCAACCTGACAATTCCAAATGAATTAATCCAAGATATTCTCAAGAACAGAAGATCGAGATAAGCTTCCTACAACTAATACAGCCACATCTTGGGTGATACAGTTCTCTACCAATTCACAAAAATAGAAGGGAAGTAAAGGTTTTTCGCCTATCGGAAAGAATAATTCGATATTCTCTAATAATACTTTCAAATGTGAATTCATGAGATTTTCGATCCAAAAAATTTTGTGACGTAGATTCCAAAGAGGAATACTCACACACACTTGGTCGATTGTTGCGAGCTAAAAGAAAATAGTGTTTCAACCCTTTTTCCGCTTCAGCCGGAAATTCCGCAGCCAAATCACCTATGGTCAAACTAAATAACTTCAAGTAATGATAGTTATGGTTAAACTCTACAGGTGTAAATTAAGAAAAAAATCCATATGATACCTTTGTTCGATATTTCGAGCATAGGTCACGAATAGAACGTGTCTTTCCTACGGAAGGGTTTTTAATTCACATGAATACTATTGGGGCATGAGGTTAAATCGGAAATTATATAATTTTACTCGAATTACATAGGTACCTGTACCAGAGGGACCAAACAAAAGTATCGATCGTTGAACATCGACTTTCGCAAACAAGCAAATCTCTCGCGAACGAAATGAGAGCGAGAACGATTGCCCAATTCTATAAAGTGCATCAAGCATGTTTTAATCTACTACTTATTTGGATTGATTTTTTGATCTTGATCTTAATATTTGTAATTTCTTTCCAGGCAAATCCGATCATTTCATTGGTCTGTAATCGGGCACAAACGCATATACGGTAGTCACCGTATGCACGTGCGGTGCATTATTGCGCTCTCTTTATCTCGCGCTTACTAGGGTGGCATACTTCGATTCTTATACAGATATGACTTAGTAAAAAATCATAACCTTTCGACTCTGTGCCTTTCATTTCAAGCATTTTTTTACAACGCCTACAAAAATGTCAGCCGAAGCCTCGAGTACAACTTCGGATACTATCGCAATAGTGCAAACCTTTACAAGTCAATCAGCGGTAGTGGCCGATGTAATATCACCATTTTTACCATTGGTGGCCGAAATAGTAAACATGGTTAACGAAATCGTTCAAATCTATCAAACAGCCGAACATAATAAGCGAATCTGTGGTTCATTGATGTCGCGTGCCACCGCTGCCGAGAACTCCGTAAATCTTTTGACAATAAGACGTTCGGAGAATGAAGATTTATTCAGATCCAAAGAATTCTATATGAATTTCCGGAAATTGGTGACGGTCATTGAGAAGATTAAAATGTTTATTGAAGAGGTCTCGCAGATTAAGGGACTGAGAAGATTTTTGTCTGCGAGGTCGATTGAAGATGAATTTCAAGATCTGACGGAAGAATTTGATGGGATGATGAGAATTTTGAACTTTACTATGGCTGTAAAAAATCAAATTCAGGCGGAAGAAGACAAGGAGATCCTTAATAGCGATATTAGGGAGATGAAGAAGGTGAAGCCTTTAGAGTCCTATCGCTTTAACTTAAATTATGTTATTATAGAAATATCTCCCCCTTTTATCATTAGTACCTCGAGAGGATCGAAGGTGGCATTGCTAACAGCATGGCAGAGATTAATGCTTCGTTAGATGATATCACTAAATTAAATATCGCCTGGCAAAAGAAATTATTCAACGATGATAGGAATGTGCTAGAATCAGCAACCATAAAGATGAGCGAACTCCAAGATCCACTTGAACAGATAAAACGAGGAAGCAAAGTATTTAAAAAGATAAGGATGGGTGAGGATGTCGCAATTAAAGAGAAAATACTCACTAATAATAATGAGAATCTGGTAAACGATATAACCAGTCAAGTTGTAATATTAAAGAAGCTTAAGGAATCACAATGCATCCTTCAATTTTATGGAGTCGCTAGGGATGCTAACGCAATCTATATGGTTTCTGAATGGTGTGAATATGGAAACCTACGAGAATTCTATCGAGAATATGGCCCACTTGAGTGGCATATAAAATCTCAACTGGCCGTGGATATTGCACGTGGATTGACCTTTCTTCATGCAGTGTCTATATTGCATCATGACATCCGTCCGGATAATGTTCTCATCTCAATCCATCGTCAGGCGAAGATTGCAAACTTTACATTGAGTCGCGGCTTCATGGATCCAACTAAAGATGTGATGCCAACCATAGAGACAATTAAGTGGACGGCCCCTGAAAAACTAAGAGATCATCTTAAAAATTCTTATACCGTTAAATGCGAAATTTATAGGTATTAAAGAGATTTTTTTTTTTTTTTTAAGTTAATAATTGTGCGTCGATGCTGATTTTCTTTTGAAAACAATAGTTTTGGGATGTTATTGTGGGAAATTGCAGAGGAGCAACCTCCGTTTCCAGATGAAAGAGATATACTAGAAATTCGAAAGAAAATCTTGGAATTAAAGATTCGCCCATCTTTCAGCGCGAATGTCCCCCCAGAATGGTCAAAAACTTCATACCAAGGTGATCTATGCGTCATTCATGAAGATTATATCCGTGATATATGGCCGACACTAAACATTGTATCTTGTCACCGCTTATACAGCTATGCAGGATAGTCCAGAAGCACGCCCAGCACTTAAAGATATGTTTATGTCATTGTATAGCTTCTATCAAAAATGCCAGCCCCAATCTCCAAGGCTCAATTCATTAACTCGTATGCCCACAGAAGATGATTTACCCGAAGTTGATGACAATCTGGCTTTGGATGATTTGTCATTGAATGTGATGAGTTTGAAGGAAGCCATTGCTGAGCATAAGAAAAAGGGAGGAGATAAATTAATGGCTTGGAGAGCTTTCAAAGTGCATGCTGAAGAATTCGGTGACATTACCGCTAGGTGGTTATCTACCTTAAGTAGTATTTTTTCTACCCATAAGTTAATAAATTACTAATTACTTACTGTATTAATTACTTATTGTCAGATATTGGATGGGCTATTATTTATATTATGACTTATGTCCGATCGATGACCCTGAAGACAAAGAGGCCAGGAAGAAAAGATTAGAACAGGCGGTATCACTATTTAAGGATTCCGCGGATAGAGGAATCGCTGATGCACAATTACGTTATGGTCATTGCTTGTGGTCAGGTGAAGGCGTTCAACGAAACCTTAAAGAAGCCGTTCAATATTTCATTTGGTCAGCTGATAACGGAAATTCTACTGGAATGTACAACATGGGAAACATATATTATAATGGACTTGCGGTACCAAAAGATGTAGAAAAGGGAATTAAGTATTTGAGATCCGCTGCTCTACAGGGGCAACCTAAGGCTCTAGATATGTGCAGGAAGAATGGGATTTTATTAGCTTCCTGAATTTACCTTATAGTTATTTATGTAATGTCACATCAATTATTCATTAAATGAATCCATAAAGTTTATTTGAATTTTTATTTGATTGAATTTTGTTGAATTAATATTTTAAAAATTGAAGGATCACGCGATTAGTTAAATCGCGCCTCGCTTTACAATTGCAAATAAACTGATATGTAACCGAGTTGCGATCCTAGGAAGGTGATGTAGCCAACATTTACAAGCTGGGACACCCAACTTCTTGCAAAATCACGGGACCGAAGTCTTAGCGATGTATAATCGCGCCTGACATTTTACAAGCTTGGATATATGAACTCGCTTAATACATAACTATGTTGCAAATTTGAGAAAGGATGAAGCCGGATCCTTATAGACGGATATAACTAACACCCTTGTAAAACCGGACCGAAGTCTTGCACAGTAAGTCTAATCGCGATTAACAGAAACCGTAAGTCACATATGATAAACTACGCGACCGAAGTCTTGCATAATATGTCTTAATCATTCTTAACGGTTAGGCTGCGACGGTCGGTTTGATCGCTCATACATCTTTACAAGCCCATAAACCCGTAAGACATTTGATGTGACTTACATTATCTTTCGTTAAATTTGATTACTATTCTACAGTAAAATAGAATACATTAGTAATTCAATATGCGTTCAAAGCACTTCTTATTTTCGTTTATAATATGAGCCTTGTTTAATCAGCAGAGAAAGATTGTAATAGTACAGCATGGGAACGTTTTATATCAGAATGATCATAGATTCTCACGCTGCATCACCAAATTTATCATACGTAACTTGTTTCGAACGCGTTATATGACGTATTACGCGTGATAATTTAAATATAAACATTGAGGAGTAGTGGAAAGAGTTTTCTTAATATTAAATTAAATATACTGTATATAAATTTATATACTCGACAGCTAGATTTTTGAATAGATGAAAATTGTCAAGTGACTTATTATTTAGGTAATAAACTATCAATGTGACAAACCCTTTTTTAATTATTTCATTTATACTATCTATATGATTACAAATCTTATTAAATTCAAGATTATTTCGTTATGTGTAAATAGATATATTATCTTCTTTTAGTATTTTTTTCTTTAGAAATAGAAATTATTGAATAAATTATGTCCAAAATAAGATTTGAATATTCTTATATGATATAAGATACAAGTTAAGTAATATAAAATATATATCATATAAAATCTTGAAAATTACATATCTTTTTTTGAAAAACAAAATTTATAATTCTTTACTTTAATAAAAACAAAAATAAACAAATAAAAAAAACTATTGCAAATAGTTTTTTTATAATTATTAATTTAAAATTTTTAATGTTTTTCTAGTAAAAAACATTTGCCTTTTAATCTTTTTTTTTAAGGATTTATCTTTATTTATATTTATTTTAATAGTTGTTTACGTGCAACTCAAATTATAAATTTTATTTTATATTATCAAATTCAAATTTTACTAGTTTAATTAATATTTATAGAAAATTTATTGATCTATAAAACTTATCTTCAATTTTTTTAGATTAATCAATATAAGTTCAAATTTATTAACATAACTAGTTTTACTAATTAGAAATTTTTTATATTATATAATATAAAATTAAATATATTTTTTAAAAAATTTTGTATTAAAGTAATTAAGAAAATAAAATTTGTTAGAAATTTAACAACAATTTTTTTAATATTTTTTTAATTTTTAAATTTGTTTTTTATTTTATCAAAAAAATAAATATTTAAATTATTTATTTATAATTAATTTTTGATCACTAGGTTTAATACTGATAATTATAAATTATAACAAAAATAATATTTATTAATTCAATTATTAATAACTTTTTATATTGAACTTTTTAATTTAGTTTTAATATATCACTAAATTATATATTTATTTTTTATAATAAAAATATTTTTAATATAATATTTTGTATAATAATTAAGATCTATATTTAAATAAATTATAATATATAGTAAATATATTTTGCTAAAATCTTGATAATATATTGTATATAAAAGAAATAATATTATATAAAAAATAAGATTTAATTTTTTTTTATTATTTAAAATTACTATTTAAAGTTATTAATTATTAAAAATTTTATTTATTATTATTTATAATTATTTTTATTAACTTATAATAATACAATTAGAATATATTTTTATCAATCTATTAAAAAATATTTATAATATTATAATGACAATTAATATAATAACTAATTTGTTTTATATACTGTATTATTAGTTAAATAATTAAATTACTTTACTTAAAAAATATAAGAAAATTATTAAACTAGTTTGAATTAAACAAAACAAAGTTTAAATTAAATCTAAATTAAAATTAAAAAACAATATTTTACCCTTTTAATAAATTAATATTAATTTTATTTATTAAAATAATTATATATAATTTTTTATAATAAATTATTTTAAATAATAATAAATTATTAATATTAAGCTAAAAAAAAAAACAAATTATAGTTTTTATAAAAATTCTTTAATTAATTTAATATTATCTTTTAAAAAAAATTAAATTAATTAAAAATATTTTTTAATTTTGAATTATTTAAAATTTAATTATTTTTTTAATAATAAAACTTCTTCAAAAATATTTAAAAAACTTATTTTTTAACTTATACAGTATGGTGCAAAAAATTTTGGAATATTATTTATATAATATAAATGTATATACTTTTTCAAAACAAAAGCAATTCACATGAATTTTAAATATGTAAACAATATAGTCCACACAATATATATAGGTATTTAAAATTA